CCCCCCCCTCCCATCTCTCTCTATCTCTTTTGTACTTTCTGCTCTTCTCTTCTCTTCTTATTCTCTTTCTCTCCCTCTCTCTCTCTCTTTCTCTTTCTGCGTTTCCCTCCTGCTATCTTCTTCTCTGATGTCTCTTCCTCTCCTTATCCGTTTTCTCCTTCTCATTCATCCCATCCCGCCGGCCCATCTTGGTTCATCCTCCTCTGCTTCGCTTCGTATGGAGCACCGACGGAGAGACACGCGTACACATCTTCGTGACGATGACGTGCGTGATATTACGCGGCGGAGTACGTGGAACCGAAGCCGAGAAGAAGAGAGAGAATGCGAGAGAGAGAAAGAAAAAGAGAAAGAGAGGGATGGAGGGAGAAAGAATGAGAAAGAGCAAGAGACGGAGAAACAGCGCGAGGGTGGAGAGGAAGAGGAAGGGTAGGGGGAGGAGGAGGGAGGAGGAGAGAGAAAGAGAGAGAGAGAGAGAGAGAGAAAGCAAGACGGTGAGAGAATGTTACGAAAAGAAGAGAAAAGAAACGAACGAGCGACAAGGAGGTGCGGAAGGTGGAGTAGTAGGCGGGCGGAGGATAGAGAATGAGGGATGGACGATGGGGACGAGGCAGGGCAGAGACTCTCAAACGGTACGAAACAGGTTCCAGAACCGTTGCTCACTCTCGGATCCCTCAGTGGGTGGAGAACGAGTTACAGTACGCGCGCGCGCTAGCTAGCTAGCCGCGCGGAAGACAGCTGGGTTTTGGTTACGAGCGTGGCGAAGAGCCATAAGAGAAGAGAGGAAAGAGGAAACGCGCGAAGCGCGCGCGCGGACGCAGAGGAAGAGAGAGAGAGAGAGAGCACTCTTCCCGAAGCACTGTATACGAAACGAATACGTTGACGCTCGCTCGCTCGCTCGCTCGTTCACCTCGTGTACACCTCGTTGACGTTGATGGACCCTTCAAATTCTTCCCCGTTTCCCCTAACCGATCTCTATCTCGCGACGCTGATGCGCTCGACGACGACGACTTCGTTCAGATTCGACGCAGCCCTCTCCTCCTTCTCCCCCCCGACGGTCGGAGTTTTTCTTTGCCGTTAAAAATCCTATTGAAGCGACGTCTTCTCCGTCTTGAAGAAGTAAGTCACCACGAGCGAGCCACAAAGTGAGCTTCTCGAACGCTCCCGGCGGGCTCCCGCTCGCGGCTCGAAAGAGAGAGCGAGAGAGAAATCGTTCTTCTGGCTGTGTTACACGCCATCGAATTTCGCTGATAGCGCGATTTTGCTTTTACTTGCAGTTGTTCCTCACCGCAAAACGGGGCTGCCGACGTTCGCAAGGTGGTGGCGACGAAATCAACGTGCTACGCGCGTAGCAGCGAGATACGGAGCGACGGAAGACACGAAAAGGCCGGCCGACTTCGTTCAGACCTTCTTTCCACATCCTCTTCCACGTCCCCGGGCTCTTCCTCTCGCGGTTTAAACCCCTTCAAGTGTACCCGGGGCGAAAATCCGCGGCATCTGACACGATCATTTCCCGGCCCGCGCCAAGACCACCGCGCCGTGATCTCAGGTACACTTATCGCGCAGCAACATCGCATATATTTACAATCCATGTACGTACATCATTAACCGGTTCACGATAAATAATCGGAGATTATACGCCGCCTGTTAGCGTTGGCGCGTTAAGATCATACCGGAGATATTTACGGCGCACTGCGACGTACCGAAATTATCTGTCGAGCCTGATTATGCGATCACTTAATGTGTTCATTTACGATATTATAAATATGACACGTCATATATATATATATTTGATGAGAGAAGGCGAGTATTTGAGCTAACGATCCCGCGCGTGAATTATTAAGCCTGTAAATATAATTATCGAATCTGTAAATATATACTAATAACGAAAAAATGCAGATACCGAGAGAAAAGAAAGTGATCTCTGTTCTCATTTTCCATGAAACGCATTTTCGAAAGATTTCGCAAAACCGTAATTGTCGAACGACCCCAAATCGAAAATTTTAAATTCTCACGGGGAAAACAAATTTTGCGGGAACAGCAAATGTTTTGTCAATGTAGCGACAGCGAGATAAAATTTATTCGGACGGCGAAAAATTTGTTTGGACGGCAGGAAGATTTGTTAAGACTATTAATTGTCCATACATCCGGCAAATAGCAATAGAGAGAATTTGGTTCTTCGGGATCTGAATTTTAGTTCCACATTAAGTCTCTAAATGGAGAGAACGGCAATGACTTCCCCAATTGTAGCACCGAAGTAGCACAATGGAAGACTTTCGAACACTTAATGTAGAAGAAAATTAAACATAAAGTGGAACTGAAATTTGGACTCAGGATTCGGGGAGATGTCGCTGGGAGTTTTTAATCGCTAAAGCAAACATGAAGAAGAAGAAGGAGGAGGAGAGGAAGAAGAAGAAACGGCAGCATAGAGGGACGTTTATACTTATATAGAAATATCAGGCATGCGCGGGCAAAGCTGTCGGTTGCGCGCATTTAGACGCACGGATGATTTTACGCATCGTCGTACGCTACGTATTCACGTAGCACGCAGAATATACGTCTAAGTACCCCGCATCCGCATAATTAAACATTCTGCCTGTAGTTATTTTTTTCATCTCACGATGTAAGTGAATGCGCGCACGCGCGCGCGTTCAGCGAGCGCCGCTTGAATGACTGAATCCGTTCCTGTGAGCGATGATATCATTCGTATGTCGAAACGGTAAGCGGGCTGTCTTCTATCTCCGTACCCCCACTCCGTGGATGGCGGTAGAAAATTTCATTCGAGTCCTTTTTCTATGTCCATTAGGTATTCCGCTTCCTAAGGTGTTTACGAAACTGCCGTGCCGGGGATTGTCCGCGCACATATCGGAAATGAAATTGCTCCCGGGTCGAAATTTCGGCCGTAAACTTTTTAATCCTACAACATGGCAGGAGCTAAGATAGTAAATTAGGTTCAATTTCAATTCTAATAGTAAAATATAACTCCTACTTTGACCCCGATGATGTCTTAAATTCCCGTTTTCGCTATGATAAAATCGGATGACGAAGCGTTAAAATTCAATTTGCAGAATTGAAGGTCCGAAGGAGAAATTAAGAAGTATCAATATTGTCAAAGTAGGTTTTCATTAGTCTGTAGGCCTTCTAAGTAGGCGCAGACTATCCTTAAGAGCGTCAGAGTGGCGTCAAAATTTCGACTCGGGTTTTCGCAGAATTTCGAATTAGCCTCGAGGCACTTCGCACATCTTTTAGTCCGGATTCACGATAGTTGTGCGGTAAGCCATTTTGTTCTAAGCGTTAAATTAATGTAATGTGATTTCCAGCGAAAAGAAGAATTCCCGCAACTAGCAGACGTCGTAATTCTTAAGATTCAATCGTTATTGCGACTTTTGGCAAGCGTGGAAAACGCATTTTTTTCACGTGGAAAACGCATTTTTTTCGCTCACCTCGTGTACACCTCGTTGATGGATACTTCAAATTATATTACATTTCATTGCTTAGAACGAAAGCTCAATATACCTATTGTGGATCCAGACTCGACCTTCAAATATTGGCTTCTTAGTTTGTCACGTCGTTACGTATATCGTGCTGATTCCTCGAAGAAGAATCGATTTCAAAGGTAAATTATTGAACAAGAACTTCTTAAGAATTTCGTCGACACACGACGATAATTCCATCTCTCTATCGGACCGCCTCGATGTTACTTTTCCAGTTACCGAATCTCCTTCAAGGAGGACATTTGATTAAAATAACGCGCACGTTTTTACAAAGTCGAAGAACGAGAGTCTTCCAGTCGCGACCCGTCTCGGTCGTTGCGGACGCGTAAAGCGACCATTTGTAATAATTACAGTCCCTGGCCATATCATTAGACGCACTTTGATTTCTTAATAGAATACAGTTTAGGACAAGGTGGAAAACTACCGGTTTGATTTTTACTCGATTAAAATAAATTTCGGCTGTGGATCAGCGCTTCCACCTCCGCAGCATCTTCCGAGCTGTCAAATCGCTCATTCAACCCATAATTTTTGTAAACAATATTAACAATATTTCTCACGCAAAAATGTTACTTTTCTGTGTATAAGCGAGGAATTTGAAGTTTCACAGATCAAAATTGATTAGATTAGATGAAAATCAAATTAAATTTCAATTGAGACGCACACTCGAAACTCACGTTTCTGTTCTCGTTGTTATCGACATTACGTAATTAGCGCGGGTTCGTAACTGTTCAAGGTTATTGCAACAGCCGAGCGACGATGACGTCATAAAAAATACCTTTTTACAGAACAATGGTTCATCATCACAATTCGATCGATGGATGAGCCATGTTGCCAAGCTGGTCCTCGAAAGTCGACGAAATGTGAAAAATAAAGACGCGTCTAACGAACGTGAACAGGGACTGTGTATCGGAGGTACGCGACTTGCGGGCCCCGAAGTACGAAGTATCGGCATCGAATCGCGCCGAGTGCGTCCCCCCGGGTGCAGGCATGCATGCTTAGAGCAGATCCCTCGATTGAGCGGCACTGAAGAAGTGGCGAGGCACGCGACCAAGGCAGCGTGTCCCACGCGCGCTCGAGGAGCTCTCCTCAAATCAAATCACGTAACGCGCGATATATATCTTTCTTACAGTGAAATTGTTGAATCGTATGAATCGCTGAATCCTCCACGGTGGAGTGGGAGCTGAAGGCTCGCGAGCGTGTGCCATTGGCGAGCCGCAAAAATCCGCCATTAAAATTCGCGAGCCGCGAACCGCGCGCGAGCTCCTCCCATCGCGCGGTGCGATGTTGACGCCTCGTCTCTCTTTCTTAAATTGCAACTTCTCTCTCTCTCTCTCTCTCTTTCGTGACTCACGAGGGAAAAAACGGAGGAGAAGACTGAAAAAATCAAGTCGCCGTTGCACGCTTTCGCGCAACCTGGATTCGAATCGCGCCGCTTGGATGTGCGCGCGCGAGCGCCGATGCCGAAGAGGAAGTTTGCAATTTTGATGAACTTAGTTTTGACGGCCTCTGACGGCAAGCACGATGCGAGTCTCACTCAATCAAATTTTTACACAAACAAATGTTATTTCGTATATGTTGTTCCTATAAATTTATGAAATAAATTTTAGTCAAATAGAAATACTAAATCTAAAGAAACGTTTTTCTCTGTGTTTATTGCAGTTGCGGGAATTGAGTTTCTTTCCGTGCGTTCACGGAAAGAAATTAGGATCGATTCAAGACTCAAGTATTTTCACACGTGTATAAGCAAGAAGATCTTGCGTGGAGATAAACTTACTCTCACACGAGAAAAAATTCTATGTAGTTCCATTAAAAATATCGTTTCATATTTTTTCATATTCATATTACTCAGGAATAATTTTTATGAATTGAGAAGAGGAAATGTCGGACAGAAAAAGCAGAAAATACCTTCGAACTGATACAACTCTCAGTTCGAAAAGATCTTTCTTCCTGTTCGGTATTTTCCCCTCAATTTATGAAAATTATTGTTATTGTTACTATTATTGTCGTTGAATTGGTACTCATTTTTCTCTATGTAATACATATGATGTGACAAAGTGACCGGCGCATAAAACGACAGATTTTATTTAAAAAATTATTATATTATTGAGTACCGTACCAATTAAAATTTAACGAACGGCGATTACGAACGAGTAACGACTTACCGATACGACGGTGTGTATTATATGTGTGTGCGCGCTCCCACGCTAACGATATCTCGCGTAACCGGTGAATTTCCGAAGACATTCGCGACTCCGCGCGAGGCTAGATCGAAAGGTTGTATCTTTTTCCGCCGACACTTTTTTTCAGGCGGAACGTCCTCCTCTCCCGAGGCGCGACTTCGAGTTGACGCTGGCGCCTCTTCCGAAGGTACATCGCGCCGGCCACGAGAAGGAGAAGGCTTAATTCGCCGTGCATTTCCCCTTATTTGGGCTTCCGCGCTCGATCAGACTGCAGGAGGGAGCTCGGGCAATCTGGGAGGGAACGGGAGAGCCGGCGGAGATCTCTTCGAGATATATATTGCGAGAGACTTGCTGAATGACGAATGTATATACACGTCTCATTCACCTCCTACCCTATTCGGTGACAAGCCGGACCGGCGGGACCGTCGCCATCAGGAAATTTATTCACCGAACGATCCGAATGAAAGATCCTGCCTCTCTCTCTCTTTTTTTCTCTCTTACGTTTGCATTTTTCATGAAAACAGATCACTGCCTGACGTAAGAACATATGAAATTGCGCTTGCTTCCTCGCAGTTTGCAAACGACACCACTCACGGAAAAAAAACTTAGTTCAAGAAACTGAGTTTCTGGTTCTCCCTCGACGAACCAGACGAAAACTCGGGATTGCGGGAACAGAAAGATTCGGTTTTCTCGGTTGCGAGAGGTATCGTCGCTCGGTCAATTATTCTCGATTATCTCGGCCAGATTTTAACTGCAGCCGAATGCTGCAGACAAATGCGAGTTGCGGCCGCGGTAATAGAGAAATCGTGTCTCGTTTTACCGAGTTTTCGTCTGGCCGAGCGGGGTCGCCAGAAATTAGATCAATTAGACGAAGACCGAGATTCTCTTGCCGCGCATGAGCGAACGAGATATCACCTTGCTTATTTTTTACACATCACCGGGTCGTGATAGATTTCGCTTCGAACGCGAAACCCCCCGTAAAATAGGACACCTGGAGGTATCTCGCTTCTGAAGAAACGAACAATTTCTCACGCATGCTTTCGGAGTGAATCTTGACAATTTACACGGAGAAGAAAAAACCCCGGTTTTCGTAATTAAGTAGAAATCCGATGGAAAATTGCTGGCGAGAAATAAAAACTCAGCGGTAAGAAATAACATCTCCGTCATATCAACCGGGAGAGAACAACCGTTCGTGAAAACTCGATCGAGGCAGCTCTCATTTTGACAATTCGTTCGAGCGGAAGCAACTCCCACGGAAATCTTTCGGCATCTACGATCGAGTTTTCGTCCGGTTGTTCCCGGAACAACAACGGGAAAGTCAGTTACCGAAGGGATTGTTTCTTTCGTCGCACAATCGCACGCGCAACTGGTTAGCGTGTGCGCAA